TCTTAATATGAAACAACAGTAATAATTCTCACAGCTAAATAATGTTTTGTTCTAAAACAAAACACAAAAAAAAAACTTAATAGCTTTTTTGTAAAAGGCCAAAAATTTGTAAAACATACATTGTATTATAACATTTTAAATTAAAGTTTACAAATCACTTGCGTTGTTTTATTTTAATAATTAAAATTAGACCCAAACAAGGCATTTTAGGTAATAAAACTTATTTTTAGCCGTGAAACAATAAAATAGCAATTTTTTATTTAAATTAACTAATAAATGAAACATAAAACGCTTCAACTGACAACAAGTAATTGGAAAAAAAACGTTAATTATTTGTATAGTATTTTTCTTGAGTGACTCAAAACTTCTATGAAGTATAATATTAACAAAGACAAAACTTATTTTTAATTTTGTATGATTTCGAAACCGGAAGAAGTAAAATTTTTTTCCGTTTAGTATTTATTTGAAGAGATTAATGTCTGAGAAACTTTATTTCAGTTACTCTAAATGAAAATACAATTTTTAAATACACATTTTGTAAAATTAAGAAGAAGCACATATTTTATTAGGTTTGTAATTTGTTTGATGTTTATTAACTTCAGTTTAATACGTTATGATATACATAAATACTACTTAATAATTATCATCTATTTTTATTTTTAATTGACATTGGATAGCTAATTTTTTAAAAAATTTTTTAGCGTATGGTAATCTATTGTATGGTATTCTATATATATCACTTATCAAACGTATAATACACTTTAACATTCATGTCTCCAAATAAGAGCTACAATTCAGTGAAATAAAACGTTGGAAGGTTTTATAAAGGGACTCCACGCGATTTCTCTCGGCGGGGCTCAGGTATTCTGTCATAAGAAATAAAATATAAAAAATATTATGTTAAATAATAATTGCATAATAGATGAATAATGGAAGCAAGTGATAAACAGATGTTCTATTGGAACGTTTCTATTATGCAGTTCTTCGAAAAGAAATACATCATTATCGAAGAGAATAACAAAACCTAATGGTTGTCTATGATTTACATGGCCATTGAGGTGCTTTATTTTATATCGTATAATAAAAATGTATAAAAGAGAGCAAAAATAAATGAAAAATTTTGAATATCGATTTCTTAGAACAACATCTTTTGTTCTTGTCAACGGACAAATGGAATTTTTTATAATTATTTGATCCCAAATAGTTTTTCTTTAATTTTAATAAACCATACACCGTTAAAGTACTAACTAATTTCAAATTCAGTTAGTTTTAAACAATTTTTTTTTTATTAACCAATACACTTTAATTTACGGTTGTCGATATATTTTTTTATTATTTTTCCAATTGAAAATTGAAAAAAAGTCTAAGTCTTACTTGTTAGTTTTAAAAAAATTAATACAACAATGGGTTATAAAAATAATGATAAATCAATAATATTAGTACGTTTAAAGTTACAAGTTCTGAAATGTGTAAATGAGGAGAGTTTTGTGCTTGTGAACTTAACACTTGTTGTTTGCGCACTTAAAATTAGTTTACGCTGATCTTTTTCTTTAGTCTACAATCATTTTAAATGCCTGTAATTTGTAGGATAAAACTATTCAAGACTATTACCATTTATAAGCCATTAGGCTCTTTGGTAAACCGTGCTAATACAAATGGCAGTTTTTAAATCCACCCATTTTATTATAATTGGTAAATAAAAATATATTTTAGAAATATTTTCATTTTAATAATGTACAAGTAGTTTAATATAAACTGCAATTAATTGTAGTTTGTAGTATAAATAACATTGTTTAAATAAATAAAAATGTCTGTGTAGACGATACACGAATAGAGTAATTACATTTTGAAATCAGAACTTTGTTTCTATCATTATTCACTTCGGAGAAAATAGTGAAAGACATCCTCATACGTCATTCTGTTTACTTTACCTAAAAACTCGGAATTAATAAAAACCCTCCTGCCTAACAAAATAATACAAATATATATATATATATATATATATATATATATATATATATATATAGGCTAGCGTTTTATATTAAATTGATTCGAACCTTTTTTTTTTAATGACCGAACTTTTCTTCCTTTTTATTATATCTTTGTACGCCTATAACCAATATTTGAGTACCCAAAAAATGAACTTTAAAACAGCAATTAAAAAAAATACACGAAGAAATCCAGCAGAAAAACAAATGAGAAATATCAAGTACCTGAAATTCAATATTTACATGATATTCCTCATTTATTTGTTGGATCTTTCACATCGCCAATTGTCAGTAAGAGCGAATTTTTAAAGCTGTTTATAAAAACAAGTTTTGTCTACATTTGACAAATTATTTTTTTATAATTAAACTATAATTTATTATATGTACATTATTCATTATAGAGTTTATGACTCGTATTTATAAGAATCATAAGTCCCATTTAACTTAAGTTCTAATAGGAGTTCTACCATTGAGATAGTTTAATTTAAAAAAATAGCTCAGTCAATACAATACTATAATATTTTAACCAGTGGTCTGTTTAAGCTTTGGATGTTAATTGTATTTTTTTTTAACAACGACGAAAACTTCATTATTATTTTGTATAGGAAAATAAATTTAAGTATATCTTGATACAACATTGTATAGCTTATTTTTTATTTAAAAACTTTTTAATTTTAAAAAAGTATTTTCAGTTTTAAACGTTAATAGTAATTGATTGTGACATTTTTGTATTAAACAAAACTAAAAAAGCGGTAGTTTTTATTAGAGAAATAGGCCTCGAGGTTTCATGTTTTATGGAAAACAAAGAATAACGGGTCAAAGTGGCTTGAATAATTAATTGAATTTTAAAATAAGAAAGTACTCTGCACATAACGCGTTCAATAAGCATATCGTAATAAACATTTTATACAGTTTCTCTAAATTAAATTCAATGTTAAAAAGCACATAAATTAAAAAAAAAAAATTCAATGTATACATCATCGAATAATTATAATTATAATTATTTAATAATTAGTTATTATTCTCAATAAAAGAAATTCCCAAAGTATCAAGAGACATTACAGCGGTATACATTTGGAATTTGTATGCTATTAAATTTGAACTTTAAATTGTCTATAGAGATAATATATAAACACCTTGTCAGCTTTAGACCAAAGTTAAAAAATCAGCAATTAACGATTGATTTCGAGATATAGAGTCGGTTATGCTAATTACGACCACATTCCTAGCGTGCACGAATTATCGGTTTAAATATAAACTCAACAGAGGATAATTAGTGAATTTAGTTAAATATATTTTACTTAGAAACGGAGATCGGTTAAGTTTTTTTTTTTTTTTATGTATAATTAACTATCGGATGTAGGTATATTATTATTTTCTACTTAGTCTCATCAACGTTTCTACGTCACCGGATTAACTTTTTTTGTGGTTTTTCATTTAACCTTTTCTAACAAAGTGTAATAATCATCCTGCATACATTATCTCATAGTGAGTCAGCAACGAAGATCAAGAAAACGGTACGCTGCTTCTCACTGCCTACGCCGCGTCAGGACTACAATAATAATTACTGCGCGTCCTTCTGGTATATATAGGTATACGTTGGAAAGTAAAACAATTATTTTTAGACGATGGTATTCAAGTGTCACTCTCAAGCGATGTGGGTTCAAGTGGTGGAATTATTTTCGATGGCAATCACAAGTTGCTGAAAGAGACGGTCGTGTTAAATTTTTGAAGAATTACATTTTGCTCTGCTACGGTGACATCAGTTTTAGTCTAAACAAGAATATTGTATCTACAGCGCCCTAATATGACACATAAATAAATATGCGCTTACACTTAAATATTTGCATACGCGTAAACAGTATCTTTTAGTACAGTCGTCTGTATACATTGTAATATTAAATATATTGTGTATGCTCAAATTGCATGTAAATCAACAAGTTTATTAAATCGATCAATATGTCCATACCGCCTACCGTACGTGTACAGTATACATTCATATAGATTTGTATTGAAAAGTTTGCGTGGGCCTCGATAAATCGACCGTTTGCTTAGTCATTGTGTTTAGACTTTCCGGGTGGGAGCTTTTAAAAGGGCTTAGGACTTTATACACCCTCGTCAGGATGCCTGAAGAATTGAGTAAAATACTTGGATTATCCTTTTTTTCCGACCAAGTATAAAATATAAAATGTGTGGTTTGAGAGACCGTTGTTTCAGTATCTCTTCGTTATCTTTAACCATGCACACATGCGTGAGAAAAATGAAGGTGTAAGATAATAAAATAATTATTTGGTAGGTAAAACACCGTCAGATACAGTCATAGTAAGACAGAGGCTAGAACAGCTGTCGACTGTCAGTAATAATACTACTGCCCATTCGGCCAGGCCGACGCCAGGTATTTTATTTTCATTCCAAAATATTAATGAAAACTCGAGCACCCTTTATACTGCAGTATAAAGCATTTCGACGGTGGATATCAATAACGGCGTTTTAATTTTCCTAAAGTACCAATACAGGTTGTTTTTATTTTAAAAGGTATAATATAGTCAATATTTAATTTCACAGATTGTACAAGCGTGCAACGTGTACATTTCCGGTGTACTGCTACATCAGTTTGGCTTGACGTTTTCATTAAACTAAAACCCTCCAGTCAATATGGTTAATATGGTGAATATGGTACAGTGTCAGTAACAAAAAAAAATACTAGCACATACACCGGTATAGCATTCGACCACGCGTTTTTGTAGTTGAAAAACATATTATCTTGTGACCTGTCGATATCTACACCTTCGGTTTCAGGTCGATCTCACGACAATGGTGTATACAATAGTTACACAGTCGTCCAATATCTGATTCGTTAGACAAATTCGGGATACCATAATAAATGTAATCAATAGACCGAAGGGATTGTTAGTGTAGCGGGGAAGGAGAGGCTTGCACGGTCTACGTTAGTGCCGCGCAATGGTATCGAGAAAATAATAATAATAATAATAATATGTGTAAAGCACTTACCGGGACAGAAACGTCCTTTCACCTTTATGGACAATGGAGACGGTAACCTTCTCACCAAGTCCACACAATAAGTGGAATCGACGATGCTGTCCGAGGATACCGACCTTGGGAACCATTCCAAAATGCCGTTCACGTTGTTTTCCTTCTCGTCTTTTTCGTCTTCCCTGCAGACAACACAATCAGTTTGGATTAGACAGATTTATCAATCATAAGTTTAATTTCCGACGCAGTCGCGTGACCAATCTGCGGTTGATAAAAAAACAAAATCGATATTCTTACATTCTTCGACGCTATAAAATCCCAAGGAGTTTTATAACTCTACGGGGAAACCTCCAGTGTAATTTACCCGTTGTGTATATAATATTATCTCGGCGGCTTTTCCGTTTTGTATGTATATATAAATAATGAATAAGCCCTTTCGACGAGCCAATAAGTAATAAACAGTTGTTCTTTTTTTATGATGGATAGCTAAAGTTGAAAAACAAAGTCGTTTTACGCCACGTACTTATTCTCTGCACGATTTACAGTGCCACGGTATTTATATATAGATATAATTCCGGAATTACCATTCAATACTCGATAGATTGTTCTTAGTTATCATATTTACTATAACGCAAGAGCTTACATTTTAGATCTGGCCCGAATCCCCGCCTGAACAACTTGGGTAGTTTTGTACAAAATCGTTCCATACCCAACATACACTGTTCATTTTTGTCGTGAAATAAAATTAGTTAAGTCCGAAAAGCTCACACAGCACACTTGACAAGTTGAATAGTAAACAAAGATAATCTACTACACTCGTCGAAAATGTCTGGTAAATCTCGCACCGCGTCTCACAAAAACCAAACAATTCCATTATCTTATACAGGCTTCTTCTTTGGCTTTCTTCCCCTCTCTCTAAAACACCAAAATGATTGTATTTTCAAAGCATTTTTAAAATGTCATTGAAATGATTTTTTAGTAGAAAAAGATTTTTAAAATATGTTTACGAGAAGTATTATATACTTATACTTTGGTGTCTGGGATAAGTACACAGCTATACAGGTTTGCGGTACTTTTACAGTTTTCAATCCAGCTACTTCGGACCAAATGTCTATACTTAAGAGCAGAGAAAAAAACAAGAATCACGGGCGTTAATATTTAAATTATCCGGTGTCTGCTCGACCGTATATAACGTATGGTAGTTGTGCCGTTGGTAGTTTTTTACTTCGTACTACCGTGTAATCGTCACCGGCGCGGCGCCGCCTAGCTAACCAATTACGGGATTATCAGTTATCTACAGTGATTACCTAGTTGTTTAACATTAAACTGACACGGACGTTGCTTTACCGAACTAACCAAATAGTATACATAATATTATGTATGAGTTGTTGTCCTGACATTTCCACTCTACGGTGATGACTTAATCGAGTGACTGAGGTCGGCAAAAGGAAAGGAGAGAGCAGAAGAGTGTTTTTTTTTCTAATATATAACATGTGGAGAGACCGGACAGTTATATGAAAAGTGCCACGTCGCTGTACTGTTTTTCGTTAAATCAACAAAACAGGTGACCCGGGTGACACGTTTGAAATGCTAACCTTATTCCTAAAAACTTTATTCAACTACACAATGAGTAGTATGTAACGTGCGAATGTATTGTGTGAAGTTTGTTCGTTACCATTTTTTTCCTACTAAACAACTGAAGGTTACATATTTGATGACAAAATATTGTATAAATCATTAAGACAAATGCCACGGTGTTTACATTTTTTTCTTATGGATTACTTACTAATGTATAAAGTATAAACTATGGTTAGATGTTATATTTGTTATTGCGTTTTACTAATGAAGAACAATTATTATAATCGGCACATTGTGGATTGCGTGTCTCGTGTGTTTACTAGTTTTTGACTTTAATTTACAAAATTCAGTATCATGTTTGAATACCGTCGCACATTATATATCATTTTGACTTACCATATTCGACACACCATGTATAGGTACACTTCAGATTAAACGAACGAGAAATATTATCGCATGAACGTGGAATACATTAAAACTATAGTGCCGTGCTTACTCCATTAACTATCTATAAAACTGTTGTACACATTTGGAGCTTATGGAATTTTAATGTAGTTTAGTTTAATGGAATTCTAGATAAAAAATAAATCTGTACAATGTATCAGATGGACGTTTGAGTTTGTGGAATAATTTAAAACGACAACGCAACTCTAAAAAAAAAATACCAATTAAATCTCAGATAGATTTCTTAAACATAAATCCGTCTTCCAAGTACAAGGCATAATATGTCATCCAATGAAATGGAAAATGTGAAGCCCGGTGAAATTCTACCCTAGGTCGTTGAGCGCATATTTATGTGCTAGATACATAGGTTTCGCGGTCCCAATATATTTTCTCGACTTAATTACTACGTAGTGGCTGTGAGGTCATTCTATATTCTCTAACTAACGCATTAAGTTATAGTTAAAAAAAATATTTTATAATAATTATATTAATGATCACAATGGTCGCATAAAAAAAAAATTTGTATTTATAATTTTAATAAAGTCAATCTCCCTAACACTCATCAGTAGGTTAGATTGGAGGAAAATAACGAGTAATTTAATAAGCGAAGACTAGTTTTAGGTACTGCGTCACTATTATTTAACAAAATTGTAAAAGTCTTTTAAATGTCGAATTCTTACGCTAATAAAACGCTAGTAGCCAAAATTTCAATTATCAACTGGCAAAAGCTAATTGTATTTTGTGGTAAAAAGAAAGTTTTTTTTTAATGGAAATGAGATTATTGTATATTTTATGGTGTTTTTTTTGTTGTAATTACTGATACTTAAAAAGGGGAAAAAAAGGCAAACAAGGCCACAAAATATTTAGTCTTGTATAAACGATCACGAGTAAAATTCAAGAGGACAGTAAAGTAACACGCGTCAAAACTTTGCTGATAAATTATTGGTTCAAAGTTAAAACTTTAATTATGCACAGTTAGCTGTTGACAATCGATTTATTCAGCCTAGGAAGTCGCATCGTTTTTCATTATTCCGATTTTGAATTTTTAATAAACGGCAGTACATAACTCTGTTCTAGGCTGTACCTATATGACGCGTTCTAAAAAGTAATTAACAAATTGTGTTTGTCGTGCATAGGCGTGGTAAACTTTATAGCATATATTATGTCCTCTTGAAAACCTTTGGAACAAAAAAATAAAAATGAAAAGTTTTGCATCGTATACCAAACAAAAAACGATTACGGCGCTATATTGATTCAAAAAGTTGCTCTGCAAACGGTAGATAGTGTAAACATTTATATTTAGATAAGTGTAGTTTAACGTTTGCGTTGCTTTTCCTCTTATCTGGTAGATTTATATATAACGTGAGAAAACAAAGACATACAAAATAATGTATTAAGTACTTAGTTACTCTCGTAGTTCCAAACCCTGTATGAACATAAATTAGACGTTACAAACTTTCGCCACGACCATCACATTCTTCCCGAACGGATAACACGCACTAATTGGTTTATAAAAGTAATTATAGTAGGAATAGTCGCCAAAAGAGTACATTTTTTATATAAATTAATTTCAATTTAATTAGAACGTCTATATACTTCAATAAAATCTTAACAAAATAGAACGACGCACATTTATCAGCTATAAAGGGTTCATTTGTAAAATACATTCTCAACCTCACAGTCTTCGTATTATACCATTCAAACTTCCGTGCACGATACAATATCTTCTAATTAAATAAAAACAAACAGTTGAAATGGGCGCTATGAACTTTAATGAAATTTAAGAAAATACTTTTACAGTGATTGAAATTAGTATACTTGACGTTTGTTTCCAATAATTTGTGAATCAATGCAAAGAAAAAAAAAACTTATACCGTGTAATGCGGATGAACCTTGTAGAATAATAATGTTTTAGAATATTCTTTCAAATTTACACTGACGGTAGATTTGATCATCGAAACAAAATAATAATTATATAACGAGCCTAGGCCGACAAACTTCTTGATTTCAATTTTTGTTACATGATTTTGTTCGTTAGGTATGACTTATCTATGTTAATCCAATTCAAATCGATTCATCATACTAGTATATACTACAGACTATTTCGTATCTAATAGTAATATCACTCATGTAGTTTATAGTAATAAACATTACATGTAAATGTACTGTATACATACAGTACAGGTACAGTTCATTATATTATTAATATTGAATATTAATCAGTACATAACTTGCAGAAATGTAAATAACCCTATTATACCTATAATAGATAAAAAAATAAAATGTTCTGCATTTCGTTTTTCCAATAATCATACTAACACCTACACCTACCTATACCTAATTAGTTTTGGAAAGAAAAATATCAACAAAACACTAGAATAAAATCACAAATAATTTCTAAAAAAATAATGATACCTAACATTTTCTACCTGGTCATGTATCATACATTTACGGTATCTAATTTAAAATGCTACGGGACAGTAAATATTCGAATAAACATAATATTCAGGTGAATTATTACATGAGTAAACAGAGAGGAATTATTATCAACGGATACTCAGTTGATAAAAGTACAAAATTAAAACGTCTACAACACGTGATCAATTAATGTCGAAGTGAGCATAACAAATACAATGCAGATACTAATTATTACATCTACCTCAGAAGTCTAGTGTAGAGGTTAAATTAGGTTACGAGAGCTATGGACTAGGAAGGACTGTGCTATTGGCCTATGGTAAAAAAAAAAAGAAGTCTATAACACTGTATTCCATAAGCTCTATATTATTTTCTATTTATACATACCATATCTGTATATTATAATATGGTCATTGGACATCGATTGTAATTTCGTTTGTTTGTCTGATGATTATTGACGAGCCTAGTTGTGTTTCGAATTTCATTTAGTGACGTAAAACCTTTACCCGGAAGGTAAATGGACGCCTTGAGGAGGTTTGCAAATAATTAGGCACACCTGGCTGCGGACGGGCGAACCGCAGGTGCAAAGATGGAGAAACATATTCACAGCAAGTCGGGGGTGGGGGTGGAGAAAAAAAATAAATTACTATGACGGACAATGAAACGAGAGAGTCGTCGCTAATTGGCGACAGGCAAAATGGATGAGTTAATGTTTTGCTACCGAAAACGTATGCGGTATGCCATC